TGAAGTGCTGTGGTGGGACCTTAAGATAGCTGTGCATTAAAATCAACGCCTGCAAACCTTAATGAACTGAAGCAACACTGTAAATAAGAGAGGGCTACAATTCCTCCTGATCTGAGAGACTGATACAAAGTCATCCAGAAAACAGTTTCTCCAAGTTATTACTGAAAGTGGCTCTACAACCCACTGAATCATGGGGTGGATGAGTTTCTGAAAAGGTCGCTGTTACATGATTGCAAATGTTGGTATTCAGGAGAGTAAATACATAACCACTGGTGCTGGAGTGATATAACCTGTACTCACAACAACAACTCTTACAATGTGAAGTCAGGAAAAGAAGTATTTAATTAAATCGATGCAGCTCTACATATTAAACCGGCCAAGACAGGAAAGGCTATATTACATTTTTAATGCAAAGCATCTGGGATAACAGTTGAGTTCCATTATGTTTATTCTCTTTAAGAAGGAAAAGGTTTATATATTAACACAGTCCATCGTGTAAATTTGCTAGATTTAGCCATATAGGCTAATTTTCATTTGCAGTCACTGGAGGTTAGTGCTATTCATAACCAAATTAATGAAATCCTAACATCTTTGAGGGAAAACCCACATGTGAACACATGTTGTGGGGAAATTAGTGTTGTGGGAATGGGCAGTATGCTGAATTTATCAGTCGAAATTGAAATGCGTAGGAGTTTGTGCTCAGTCAACGTGTTTATATATGTGCTGATTACCTTTTTGACATAAACTCTGTGTATTTAAGAGGACAAGAAGCAGTTTTGCCTCAAGGCTCTAATGTTTCCCAAGTGGACACATACATAGAAGTATCCTGTTTTATCTGCTATGCCTAGTATCTATTTAGCAAGAAGGCATGTGTGTGCATGGTGCAAGGGATCGTACGAAAGTTCATACAATTAGAGCACCCAAAGCTCACAGCACAAAATGTCTGCATAGCCCCTCACAATAATGCACTTTCACAAGCTACATACACACACAGTAATAAACCATCGGAACAATGTGATGCGTGACTACCTGTAAATTACTAATTAAATGTTAAATAGATATGGAAATATCATCATTATCCACCCAGGAATCTGTTTTCATTATTTGCTGCATGTTGACACTGCAGAGTAGTTTCAGAGTAGCTTCCTTCTGTGATAGAAGGCAGTGTTGAGTATTTTTCTGGTCTCAAGAAAGCTGTTCTTGTGCACTGAGCTGTTGAGAACTACATTTTGTCTGAAGCAGTTAGCTGCTAAAGCTGCTAATAACAATGATAACCTCCAGTGTCAACCTGCTATTTACACCTGAGCTTATTGGTAGAAATGAGGCTTTAAAAGAAAAACGAATAGTTAGACACTTGACTACATATTTACAATATGGTTGCAAAGCTGAAACTTGAAGGAACTGACGGAAGGGCACCACCAGGAGTGGAGCCTGCGGCTTAATTTGACTCAACACGGGAAACCTCACCCGGCCCGGACACGGAAAGGATTGACAGATTGATAGCTCTTTGTCAATTTAAGTGAACATGTGTTTCTCAGTTTCATTTAATTTGTCATTATTTTTGGTCTAAAATGTCCAACTTTTCAAACAGTGCCCATTACATGCTGCTACATGCTCAACAGTATGTGGTGCTGTGATGAGAGCAAAACACAGATTTTAAAGAATTTTGTTTTTAATTTTTCTCAGTAACTAAGATGTTTTTAGACTTTCTAGATTTTAGTTTTTCCAGCTAACTAGAATGGAACAAGTGGTTACATAAGTAGCTACTTACTGTAGCTACTTATGTAACCACTTGTTCCATTCCAGGAGTTAAAAGCAAAGATGAAATCTTTCTTTAATGAGTTTAGTGTAATATTTGCAGCAAAGCAGAACTCTTACTTCTCTAAGACCAAAACTTCCTTACCACATTTTTTTCTTTATTTCTATAATGAGGATGACAATGTTTTGCTGTTAGTTTTATTTGTAGATTTACCCTTTTATTTGAGCACAGCATCACCTACATAGCCATTAAAGAAGATTTTCACATAGCTCACAATTTGAAGTAATTATTAAAACTTTGGGTTTTGAATGACCACCTGTTAAAAATATGAGTTAGCATTGAGCAGAAAATAGCATGCAGATTTGCCAGTCTGCCAGTAACATATTAAATATGAAGATCACCTGTTAGAAAGAGAAGCTGATTTTACCCACTTTGTTTGTAATCACTGAACAAAAATTACAGCCGATGAAGCCGTTAAAACAGAGGCATTATATAATCATGCTGTAACCTCCAAAGGATGCAATGCAGATCCTATTTCTTTTTTTAGTTTTTGTTGATTGTTGTATTTGTTTAATTATCACTTGGGTTGTCCTTATTTCTTTTTTTTTTTCTTTGCTCGTTGATTGTCTGTTTGTTTTAACTTTAAGTTGGATTTCTGAGTCGTCCAGCTGTGATAGGCTTTGAGCTTTAGGGCCATTAGGACGCTCTATGTCCAGCCTTCTCTCTTTTCGATGGCTACCGTGAAGGTGAAACACTCATCCCCAGGTAATCAGCCAGCAGTCAAGTGCCCCAACAAAAGGTTGGACAGCTCTCAGCCATGGCAATATTGCAGCGTTACTGAAAATGCAAACATCCAACACAATGTGTTGAAATATAATAATTACTGGAATTTGCAAACAGGTTCTGACTCACAGAATTGTTTAAATACTTTTTCATCAGTTCCTCACTCAAGGCTCTGCTCTTCTGGAATGTGTTGAATTTCAGTGCAACGAGAACATTTTCCTGCAATAGTGGTGATGAAATGAGCAAATTTGAGGCAGATTGGTAACTTAAATCCTCCCTGCTCCCTCCTAATCTTTTGCCGTTTGTCACAAACCTGCAGCTCTTTCACTGAGTTACACACACACACACACACACACACGCAGAGATATTTTACCTTCTCCTGCTTACAGGCTCATTTGCTTCACACACGTGAGCACAAACGTGTATCCTCCACACCCCATACTTCACACTAAACACTAAAATTGATTTTAAATGCAGATTCCATGGGTAACTCATGACACACACACACAAAGCACAAGTTGAAAACTCACTATCTGTGTTCATACAGATGTTTTCCTACTGCGCTCTGAACAACCGTGGCGTAGGTGTACATGCACACGTACACAAACATTACACCTCACCCTTTTATGCACGCTGACTGATTCAGACATGTATAATCTCGCGCAGATTCTCAATTACCAAAGAGTTCTCCTCACGTACACACTGGCGTTTATATGCTCGGATTTTAGGACCTCGCTCTCTTTCTGTGTTCTCACGTACGCGGGGAAGCGGTCGTGTATAAAAAAGCCCATCCTCACAGTCACACACACACATGCAGAAAGAGCTGTTCTCCGGTGTTCAATCAGACTTAGTATGGCTATAATCCTAATCTCCGCGAAGGGGAAGTCTCTCCTCTGGGCTGCAAGAGCTTGAGGAGAGAGCCGCATTTCGGTTACACACTC